TTTAGCAGAAATACACAAAAGTAATCTACGTTCACGTACAATTTACTGGATTGAGATTGTCACCTGCAATAGAAGAGAAAAGGTCACTTGTCTATCACTGTAAGTAGATAAATTAAACTGAAATGTATCTCTCTCCTTTCATGCATCCTATTTCCCTCTGAAACGATTATTCTGACTCTCTGTACTAATTAAAAGATAATCAACGAAACAATTTGGAAAATGCTTTGAAATTATCAATGAATTCCCAATTTGGGACTCTTCAACAGTACGCACCCACCGGGTTTCGAACGCAAGACCTTCTGGATACAGGGGAAGCTCGTAGACCATTGAGGCACTGAGACCCTATCCCAAGGTCCTTGAATTCCAACTTCTAATGGTTGTACTATGTCATGAATTGGCAGAAGTCAGAATTTAAGAACCATTCGATCGGGTCCCAGTGGCTCAATGGTCTACGAGCTAGCTCGCCTTGTAACCGGAAGGTCTTGGGTTCCAACCCCGTGGTGTGTGTGGATACTGATGAAGAGTCCCAAACTAGGACGCACACATCTGTCCAGTACTCCCAGTTGGTTTTCCAACGGTTTTCTAAGCAATGTCAGCTTATGATGAAATCCTGCAACTAATCAACCAAATCCCTACAAAGCATCACTTAAATATCAATGAGATGCTCACTAGCGACTTGCCCTATTCAGATAGGTAGCTACCTGGGGTTCTAGTGAGAAGGTGTGACCAGTAAGGTGTGGTAGGTCAGGTGTGAGCACAAATACTTGCCGAAGACATTGGCTACGCTTGCGCTATACCGCGAATTGGCAGAAGTTGGAATTCATGGGCTATTAGATTGGGTCCCAGTGGCTTAATGGTATGCGAGCTCGCCTAGTAATCAGAAGGTCCTGGGTTCGAATCACGGTGGGTGCGTACTACTGAAGAGTCCCAAAGTAGGACAAAACAGCTGTTCAGTACTCCCAGATTTTCCAATGTTTCTCTAAATAATGTCAGATCATGATTAAATCCTGTAATTGTGACTTTTGTCAAAAAGGAATTCATAAGAGATCAAATGGTTTTGTCATGCACTTATTATACTTCTCTCTCTATTTAATACAAACTCACCCGTGCAAGTTGCTTTGCCTAAAAACGTTATTTAAATCTCTCTTTAGATATTTCTAGAGATTAGAAAATTATCTTATATGATTGTTTAAATGGCGATATTCAGTGAAATCTAACCATTTCTAAGTACAGTCATCTAGTGACTCAGCTCTTCACTACTCATTGTTATTTTAGTAGCCTCTTTACAAAGTGGTGGTGTGGTGAGAACAGGTTAGCCAAAACTGGTAGACAGCATTTTACGTCAATGGGTATGTCGCAGATATTGGTGGTGAGAAAATATGAACAAGACTGATTCAACAACCAATCACAGCAGACTTGTCGTATAGATGATCTGACATTCAAGAAACAGTCATAAAGAGATGCAAAGTCAACTTTCTGTAAGAAACAACCATTCAGAAGACTGTGTTTGTATGCTTGAATAAGCTATAATAATGCACATGAAATATATATAAATACGTGTCGATTTCCTTAATAAACGATCTGTTGCCTGACTCTTGGCTTCTGTTGTTACAATGGGATAGCAAATGGTTCTTCAAACTTGTTTTTTTTGAATATTCTTGAAAATTGGCTTCTGGACTTACATTCTTCGAATTTTTCCACAGTTGTTGCTAAAATAAAAAAAAATAAATACCATAAATCAGTTTTAAGCACATAAGTCTGAGTTATCGCTATACTTTAATTGCTTTCTCAGTCCTCAAACTTCATACCTTCTGTGTTATCCCTCACAGAAACGTGCACTACGATTTGAACTTTTAGTGTGATAGTGTATCGAACAGTTGGGAATCGCCTTTACAATATGTTCGTCATAGTAGTGATCTTTTGGCAAAGAATTTATGCTTTAATTTTAAGTGGTTTCCTGACTTATTTCGGTCTGCGATAACATCTTCAAATATCTTCAAACTTAACATTTTAAATGAAATCTTATATTTTGGTTTAAATAAGACTACGAACTGGTGACTACAATAAGTGTGGAAGATAACTAGTTTATGAGAAATATTCGTGAGGTAAATAACAGTTCGATATCATTTTCTTATAGATTTCTGTAAAATCCTACAAATAATGACGCAATGATTACATTCAGAACTTCCAACAGCAACTTGATTGTTGCAGCGAAGAAAATTTTTTTTTCGACGAAGTCATCATCTAGGCTGTACATACGTGCATTTATATTAAATGGATGGGAAAGTTCCAGAATAATTTCCGGTCAAGGGTCAAATTAATAAAAATTAAAATTGGGAATTAGAATGCCATAATAAACAGGGGGATGGATAAAACAAACAAAGTAGCATTATAAAAACTAAGAAGACTGACATTGTGCAATTAGGGGTTAGAAATGTAGAAATAACAAAATAGACAGGATGTTTGGATAAAAAAACTAATGTGATGAATAATTGTTTATGCAATCAGGGATTAAATATGTAGAAATAGTAAAATGACAAAATGAACACTAAGTTCGGGTATGAAAATATGGTAGTGTAAACAGGGATTAAGAAAAACTTGAAATAACATGAATAAACAGGAAGTTTAGATAAGAAAGGCGATGGGATGGTGATTACTAAAAATTACCTGTTTATGATGGCCATGGCAAGGACAGGGGTTGGACGTATTTCTTTTGTATACAAAGCGTGGGTTTGAGCTTTTGTATAGCTAGCGCCTCGGCTATGCCCATCCATTTGATATAAATACACGAATGTACAGCCTAGATGATGACTTCGTCGAAAAGAAAATTTTCTTCGCTGCAACTGTCTTCTTATTTACTCCTATGACCCAATGTGTATATTCCGTAACTTGATTGTTATTTTGACACTTTCATTATGGCTTGCATGTACATGTACCATACTGTCATTCGGACTTACCATTCTCAGCGCATCCTAGAAGACCTGAAACAAAAACAAAAAAATAAAATTCTTTATCATATTTATGACAAATAGAAAATACTGAGCACAGTGAGCACACTCAGTAAAACAAAATGAGGATTAAGATACCACGTAATTTTAAATCTCTAATTTGAGGAAATGTTGACATTTACCCAAAAGTATCTCCCGAAAAACAAACATAAAAAGTATGTGTAGAAGAAAATAAGAGCCTTGTATTTTAAAATCTCATCCAACAATGATTCCTTATTGCTTCAGTAGTGGAATGCACGAACCATCAGTAAACACAGTCCGGGTTTCTTATTAGTTTGTTTATTAGATATATCACACAGTCAGTGAAACAGTATTATTTACTGGATGACAAGGTTTCGAACAAAATTTATTATTGTTCATAATCACATCATCATTTATGATCACATGACTTTGAAACTTGAGTTTGATAGTTTTCTTTGTTCTCGCCTATTCGTCGTCGTTGGAATAGTAGAATTTTACAGACATCTGAGTGGACAGGTATTGAATCATTCCTATTACATACACTTCCAGCTTTGCAGCTAGTCTGACTTCCACACTATTTAAATTCCTGAGGAAAATATACAAACAAACTAAGTTGTCATGGGGTTACCTATATCCCTGGTTGTGGCAGATATATTCATGGATAGGTGGGGAAACATAGCGATTGAAACGTTCAGCCCCACCCTAAGTGTATGGCGGAGAAATGTAGACGACACATTCAGTGTACTCGGAACACAAGATATGGATAGATTTTTAGAACACATTAACTCAAAGATGGAGGCAATTCAAATGACTTATGAATTGGGAAGTCAGGAAGGGGAGCTTAGAATGTTAGATTGCAACGTAAAAAGGAAAGAAGATGGGAAGTTCAACACTAGTGTTTACAGGAAACCCTCACATTTACACAGATATTTGGACTTTCGATTATCCTATCTTATGTCAGTGAAAATAGGATTGGTGAAATGTTTAAGTGACAGAGCACAAACCTAGGTAGTACCAAGGGAAATCTAAGACAGGAAGTGATACACATAAAAGAAGCCCTGAAACGTAATCATTCCCCTGATAAATTAGCCAGGAAATATGTAGGGAAATGTAAAAATAAATTATGATATTATTGATAATAATAATAATAATAGTAATAACAATAAAATTAACGATGACATGCATGTCAAACATACACAAGACATCATCAACAATAAGGAATCTAAATCATCAGTAGTAATTCCTTCAAGGAAGGAACCTCGGAAACCTTACATAGAATTATTAACAAGGCAGGTATAAAAGTGGCATTCAAACCCAAACTCATTAGAAACAAGCTTCGTCGGTTAAAGGATCAAAACGATTTAGTTTATCTATTACCCTGCTGGAATGATTGTCAGGTCGAATACATACGTCAAACTAGTAGAACAGGGGCAGTCAGACTAGCCGAGCATATACACCTAGCAGCGAAATCTAGATTGGTTGACCCGAATAAGATAAGAAATCTAGAGAGTAGTTAGTTCAGCTATAACACTCACTACATGCAGTTACACACAACCATACAAAAGGATGATGGGATAAGATGACAGTTTCAGAGTCTAATGTAACAACGGGGTGGAGGGAGAGTATGATTACAGAAGCTTTGTTTATCGAATCAACCGCAAATACATGTAATAAGAATGATTCAACACCTGTCCGGCCAGATATCTGGAAAATTCTACTATTCCTACGATGACAAATAGGAGAAAACAAAAAAACTATAAAACTCAAGTTTCCAAGTCGTTTGATTATATTTGATGATATGATTATGAATATTTACAAATTTTGTTCGAAACCTTGTCATCCAGTAAAGAATACTGTTTCACTCTCTGTGTGATACATCTAATAAACAAACTAATATGGAGTTATTTACTGCCACAGTGCCCAAGTTTTACACAAATATTAACAGTCCGTGTTTGTTTTTAGGCTAACACACTTACAAACGTCGCCTAGACAGTAGTTAGTATGGGAAAGAGGGAAGGTTTGGCGTGAGACTAGCAACTTCGCTTCTTAAAACCAACACCGCGCCTTATTGATATAAGTGTAAAACTCGGGCATTGTGGTAGAATGTAATTCCTTTCTAGGTGAAATTTATTTTGATGAGATCACAGTGTTGTACGGTAATATTTATTGGTGACCACGTTTCGAGCTCATAACCCTTTCAGCTGGATCCGTAATCGAATGATTCATCTGTTGTTAATAATTTTCCTATGGGTTCTGAGTGGGACATTGGGCATCAACACACACACACACATCTCCACTTTCCTCTATGTTCTGTTGTTACCTTCAGCTGGGTCTCTCTTTTCCTTCTCACCATACGAGCTCTTTCACGTCACCTTCACACCGATGACCCACTCGTCATCTCCCGTTTGGATACCACTCGAGCGATGGCCTACATTGAGCGTGATGCCATTCGACGGCCTTCTCAGGGTTTATCCAAACCGTCTCCATTTTCTCCTATATATTTGTTGAGCAATCGTCTCCTGGTTGGTTCGTTGTACTGCAGAGTTCTTTTCTGGCCAGCCACTTGATCTTAAGTATGGAGCCTGCGAAGGGCGCTATTTATAATAGTCTGTAAATTTTTGGAAATCCTTTTCGTGACGCACGTGCAGTGCAAGTTTCTGACCCGTATAGAAGCAGTGACTGACTGACTGACTGACTGACTTCACGTATGTGTTGAAAATCCGAATCTTTTTGTTTATGTTGGCTGTGTGTGTGTGGAAGATTTCCAGACAGGTGTCAGGCTGATGAAGGCGTATCTTGCCTTTCCGATTCTGACTGGCTGGCTGACTCTGACATCTTCATCCATTCCGCCTGTGAAATGCTTCAAGTTCCTGTCTATTTATACTATCTATGGTCAATAGTGTCACTACTATTTTTTTTTCCTCTTACTGTGATCTTTTACGCTTCTTCTATCTGCTATAGCCTAAATAACCAACTGACATTTAAAAAACCACTAAAAATCAGGGAGTAACAGACAAGTGTTTTGTCCTACCTTGCGAGTCTTCACTCACTAGTTTTCTGGCCTGCCCCAAGCCCAGCCAATGATGGAAAGTTGGGCGTGAGGCTAATGACCCCTAACCCTGAAAAACCAATCAAACTGCTACAGAAACTTCAACTGACAAAAAAATGCTAAAATTAAAAGTATTTTTAAAAAAAAAGCTTCATTGGAATTGGAGAGGCGAAATGACCTGGGCTAGTGAAAGTCTTAGGGAAGCCAGTCAGCCAACCAATGTGTTTTCTTTTGATGAAAGGAAGAATACAAATCAGGACTAATTCACCTTTGTGATTCTTGTTAAAGTTTTTGATTTCTTTCGTGAGCTAATCAATATTCTTTTATGATTCTTCAAAAATAATGCCTCAGATTAAGTAAAAATAATTATTTCACATGAGTCTGTCAAGTAAAAACACTTCTTAGACAAATAACGCTTTAACATATACAATTTTCATTAGTGTTGTATTAATAAAGCGCTTACAGAAAAAATGTTTGTGCACCAACCTCTACAATATTAGAATGAAAAAGTATTAGGTTAAAGTTATTCTCACCAGTGTAAAAATAGGTAACTTTCTTTCATAGATTAATAGCGAAGGTTTTTTTGGTGGGAATGATAAAAACTAGAGTCCGTCAAACTATACGTCTTTAGTGTTTATTAATCAGAAACTGGCAACAAATAAATATTCATTTATTCGCTATCTTCATAATCTTCTTTATTTAAAGTCATTTTGTACTGTCCATTGATTGGTTATGTATTACTGAAATGACCAACTAATGTTGACACACCATCTTCTGTTGTGGACATTTAGATAATATCTGTTAGTTATCATAATCTCGCTTAGTAGGTTAGCGAATAATTTTTTGCCTTTGAAAAAGTACGAGTACGAGTCTTGGTGGAAGCATCCTCATATTGAAGATGTAGGTACATTCAGATGAAGAGTCTCTAATAGAACAAAAAGCACACAGTGGATTCTACCCTTGGCCACCATTAGCTAAAAGATTCAAATTACATTATTATTATTTCCTTCTATTCCTAGAGGAACATAGGGCTTCATCCAAACCTCTGCATTGCGTTCGGTTCTCTGTCAACGTTTTCACCTGGCTCCAAGTCTGCCCACATGCTTTTATCTCCTCTTCACATGACCTCCTCCGAGTCGCCCTTGCACTGACGACCAACTCGCCACTTCCCTATCGGGTTCCACTCGAGCTATGGCCTGGCGTGTGATGTCACATGGTGGTTTCCTCAGAGTATGGCCAATCCACTTGCATTTCTTCCTGCATATTTGTTTCACAATCGGTTCCTGCTGAGTTGGTTCATTCATTGCCAGAGATCCCTGCCTGATTCTGATGTTTTGTGACCGGCCATCCAATCTTGAGTAGTATTGAGCGAAGACAGCTAGCTGTTGATGAAGGTCAGTAGTTTGTTTGAGGTGCTCTTCATGACGCGGCACGGCGCGGCGCGGCTCCAGTCTCTGATTTATATGGTGAGTAGCACTGACTTCACATTGGAGTTGAAAACCCGGATGTTATTTTCATTTTCATGCTGAGTAGTGCAGTTGACCTCCACACAAACTTGAGGGAAACGAAAACTTGCCTCGGTTTCCCAATCCTCGCTGCTTTGATATTCTCGTCAGTTCCGTCCGCGTGTAGCTGAAACATTGCTTCCGAGGTCGGTCGGCAGGTAGGTAAGTAGGTGAAGGAGGTTGTTTCTTTCAGATTCCTTGTATTTATGCTGTCTGATTGTTGTCTGTTGTTGTTGATGCTGTTGGTGTTGACCAGGAATCTTCATCACCACATCTGTTTTCTCTATGTTCACCTGAAATCGTATCTTCTTTGGATGCTTCTTCTGAAAACTTGTTGCTTTCCAATTGCATATCTTCCAGTTAGTGGGAAGTCAGACATATATCGCCAGGGGCGAGGTCCAGATCCACAAGACAGGCTAATTTCATGTAGGTTAGAGAAATACTCGATACGAGGCGATAATATAAATGTATTCCTGAATTTAAAATTAAGTCTCCGAATGTATGCGTATAATTTAGATTATAGAATTTATGGGAATTCAGATTAATTTAATTTCATTTGTTAGGTTTCCATCAGGAATCAATATCAGTTGGAGAAATTACTGGAAATAGAAGAGTACTGGATAGCTTTTTCATATTATTCCGTGTCTCTTCAATAGTGAGCTTCCACGATCACCCCCCATCACAGATCAAATTCGGAACCTTCGTGTAGTGAAATCAAGCTTGCCAGTCATTCAGCCATCTGGGCTGGAACTAAATAACCCCTGAATTCTAACTTAGTTAATTCAAGACACACTTTCTTTTATGAGCATCCACTGCATCTTGACTTGGTGGACATCTCCAGCTATGACGTCCTACTGCAACTTGGGGAAATCTGTTTAGTAGGCATCAGTGAGTTGAAGAGAAATAATTTATCTGGAAAATAGTCTAATTACATTGCGATTACATGTCGAAAACTTGATCTTATTCAGTAGATGAAAGGTGTCAGTCAAATCATATCTACGACTCCTCAACTAAATATAGACGCATCTCAACAACTCACAGAGCTTTCAGTCATACTCAAACAGTGTATCATGCTGTAATTCAAGCGTTTTAAAAACCAGGGTCATCAAGATCTTTACACGGACAGAATGCTTCAATTTTTAATGTATACAAGATCTATCTGATAATAAAATGCTTTTGCTCGTTTTTTAATTCATTATTTGTTGTGTAGTGCTTTTTAAATTTCTTTCTAAAGTGATTTAAACCAGGTGTTTTTTCAACCTTCGGATAAAACTAGTCATTTTCCCTTTTAATTTCTGTGTATAAACTCTAAACAAAATTAGAAATTTCTGTTCACTAACGTTCTGTGCACATTCCTCCGCCTGAATTTAAAATACCCAAAAATTTAAGGAAATAAGGGTTTGAAAATAATGGATAAATGAAGAGGCATTTAGTTAACGGGAAATAAATTAACCAAATTTTACCTGGACGCCACAGGATTTTTATATGAAAAGAACCTCCTGGCTGTCCTGCTTTTCATTTATGATTTAATCTCAGAAATGCGTTTACTAAATGAAACGCAGAAATGTATAAAGGGATCGTCCTTTATGAATAAGTCTTGAAATATATGTCAACTGCCATTTGATTAATTTAGAATTGGATTTCAACTTTTAATATACCCCTTCCTTTTTTGATTTGACACTAGTAACTAGTGTGATGTATTTGGTCATTTCTTTGGTGCAGACTGAATTCTATCATTCAGGTTGGAGGCAATCGGCCACAGGAAGCCTTGTCTGACCTAGGTTTCGTGCTAGTTAGCACTCATCAGCAAGGCGTATCTACAACCTTGAAGGGACTCATGTCCCTTCTGAGATCCAAACCTGCGTCACCCAGTGCTGCAGTCAGAGACGTTACCACTGAGCTATTCAGGCTCGCGATTGACCTCCTGTAGGGCTATAGTGGATATTTTGATTTCACACTAGTAACTAGTGTAATGTGTCGATTCTCTCCAACCATCTAATATCATCAAATCAATGTGCACCATGATAGAGTGCTACCTAGAATGGTGGTCATATTGCAAACCTGACTGATAGAATTCAGTCTGCACCAAAGAAATGACCAGATACATCACACTAGTCACTAGTATCAAATCAAAAGACCCACTACAGTCCAACAGGAGGTCAATCGAGAGCCTGAATAGCTCAGTGGTAACGTCTCCGACTGCAGCACTGGGTGACGCGGGTTTGGATCTCAGAAGGGATATGAGCTCCTTCAAGGTTGCAAATACGCCTTGCTGATGAGTGCTAACTAGCACGAAACCTAGGTCAGGCAAGGCTTCCTGTGGCCGATTGCCTGCAACCATCTAATTCCTCTTCTTCATTCATAATTTCAGGTTTAATATATAATAAAACCTTTTATCATTTCTGCTAATGACAGTCAAGTGGTATTAATCCATCGATTCAAAGAACCCAGGAAACTGTACACTTAGCTGATTATATATACTACATATGTGAACAAATATTAGTCCGTTAGCTTACAAATAAATATTCATATTGTTTACTTATTTTAAACAAACTATATACTTACAATATCTACTAGCATAAACGTCTTTAATAAAAGGGAATAACTTGTTATTATTAATGTGTTGTCAACCTTTGAGTGGAACTTAGTGAATAAAATATCCTTCATTATTAAAAAACAAAAAAAAACGAAAATCCTTTGATGACGATCATTCTTCAATGAGAAGTGAGGCTGTTGTTTTATAGCAAATTACACTATTTTCTCTCTTCAGTGAGTTTTGTAAGATATAGGAATCTAAACTAATAAAATGCTATTTTTAGACATAGCAGCTCATTTCTTTCTATATCACTATGCCTATGAATTTACGCTTTGCTTAGATATTATCAGTAATTTTGTAGATTTCAGAGATAACTAAATACTATTATGTGATAAGGGGAAACAAATGTAGGTTGTTAAAAGTGTCTTCTCTACATTTGTTATTCGACTTACAGTTTTCACAGTGTTCATTACCTGTAATAAAAATGACTTCTATTAGTATGTAAAAGAC